AATAATAAAATAATAAAATAATAAAATAATAAAATAATAAAATAATAAAATAATAAAATAATAAAATAATAAAATAAAAATAAAAAATATATTAATTAATGATAAATACAAATTTTAGTATTAATATTATCTACACATACTTGCATTCAAAATTTGCAAACCAAAATGGTCAATTTCTTCATATTCAATATCATCTTCAAAAAATTCGATCCACCCTCCTGGCTTTGTCACTCTCACCATTTCTCGTGCAACATCTTTCCACTGCTCAGCAGTTACGTATTTTGAGAATAAACGTTGAAAAACGAAGTCAAATGTGTTATCAGGAAAAGGAATGCCATCATTGACGTTGCACTGTAAAAATGCAACGTTTGGAGGTGTTTCTGAAGGGTCAGGAAATATTGGTGAAATATCTAAACCGATAAAAGTAGAATTTTGATAGTCACGGCTCATTTCAAGAATCCATTTGCCGGTTCCACATCTTCTCATAATATTAGATTCATTTAAATTATTAATACATAATCTTAAATTAGAAAAACTTTAGATTAAACTTACCCGACATCCAATACTCTGGTCTTTCCTTCTGCCAATCGTTCTTGCACTGGTGATGAATGATTTCCTTGCCATGCGTATTTTAACAAAGAATGTTGAAAATTCAATCTTTCCGCTATTATATATGTATATGTATAATATATATAAAAAGTTATTGCTCAACATTAAAATACCTTCACAAATCAAGTTGAAGTTATAACTCTAAACAGTATTTTAACAGTATTTTAACAGTATTTTACCTTCGTCTCCATCATTTGGCAGAAAGTAGCTTACCTCACTATTGTTATGATATCTTCGACCATTTATATACCGAAATGAGTCCAATAATGTGTCATTAAAGATGTCGTTTTCGGAAAGGTTATCATCAGAGGAATCGGATTTATTGGCTAAATCAAACATCGGTAAAAAAAAAGACCGGATAGTTATAAAAGAATGTATTTCAAAATTCCAAAGACCTTCCTTTACCGAAGGAAAAAGTTTATAATCTTGATCGCATTTACAGGTTTATTTGATTATACAGTATTTCCAGACATAATAGACATATATAAAAACGTCACATATTCAAATCAATTATTGTTCTTTATGTACTACCATTTATGCTACTACCATTTATGCGAGCTTAGATCGCCTCGTATTTCACCCTGTTTTCTTTTTGTAGGTAACTAGTTAGTTGAATAGACCAATTAGATTATGTTCAAATAAACATTCTGCATTCTACATTGCTACGTATGTATTTTAAAAAAAAGCGACAATCTAATTATTGAAATGTTTAAATTCTGTTGGTGAAAGTTTCACGTGTAATGACTCCAATTTGCGTAAAATGAACATTACGCGTGTAATGCTTGATTGGGCGAAAGGCTTCTTGGATGATATAAAGCATAATATAATATTATATTATTTGTACATTTACTGTAATGAAGCATAATATTATTTGTACATTACTGCATGTAGCATTATTTAAATTTATGTGCATTCTAAATTTTTGAGTTAAATTCATCAATGCTATTTTTATAACGATAATAAGAAATTGTTCGCACATGTGATCATCCGATCAGTCCAAAAAATGCTTTGAAAATGATGCTTAAAATGCCAAATAATATGTTAAACCATTTCTGCTTTTGTTAGATTCAATTGTATCGTGTTGTATCGCGCATACGTACGTACATACGTACATACGTACTATAACAGTGATTATCGAATCAGAGGTCGGCTTCTTTCCACGTAGACATTTTTGAAATTTAGCTTTTAATTCTAAATTTTATACTGTATAATTAAAATATTATATAGTTAGATTCTCTATACATAGTTACACTCTTAGTATGACAAAAATGCATGGTATAGCTTGATTCTATTTTTATAAGAGCTCTAGATATTTTGCTCTTTAAAATATATACTTCGGCCACTTGGCAAATGTTCAAAGTTATCAATAATTTGTAAATTTGATGGAAATTAGGCCTAAGCCAGCCTCATGCAGAGTTCGCCAGGGCGACCATCAAGTACGGACACATGAGAAGACGCCACAGCCACTGCATAATTTCTTAGAATCGTCTAGCTCCTGCATGCAGCTTTATTGCTGTGAAAATTTCTTAAAATATGTAACAAAGCAATATAAGATATTGCTGTGGCGATAATTCAGACAATGTGACCCGTTATTTTGGTGGTCGTCCTGGCGAACTCGCCTTATGCAAGCCCTTTTGGTATTTCGGCAAGACCTTTTGATATTTCGGCATCCTCGGAAATTTTCGGCAATCCGTATTTAATATACAGCCGAAACTTCCAGAGTCTACCGAAATATCAAAAGGTTTTGCCGAAATGCCAAAGGGGCTTGCAACCTATATGAGACCTAATTTCTATCACATTTACAATTTATTGATAACTTTGAACATTTGCCAAGTGGCCGAAATGGCCGAAATGGCCGAAATGGCCGAAACATTTCGGCCGCAGGTATAAGCGCTATTATCCATTATCGGGCTTCCAATTATTTTTTGTGGAAAAGCTTGACGATAAATTTCTCTAGACGGCACTCAATTAACAAATTGAACATTGAAAGCCCAATGACAGGTGTTCTCTAGACTATAGATGCTGACATTCGAAGACGTTACACAAGAATTTTTTACACTGTTATCGGCAAAGGGATTACCTCATTTCTCCACAGTAAAGCTGTTACATTTTTATCTTTCGTCGATTGTTACTTCATTACCAACCCTTACGCAATACTTTTTTTTATCTTCACGACATTTTCGCTTTATCGCTTGATCAATAAATTTACTTCATTTTTACTGCATGTATGATAGTAGGCGGAAGTGTATATAAAGAGTGACTTTTACTGGCGAGTAAGGGGGTGAATACATATAATATAGATCAATCTTGTATATCGAATTCTGGCCTGTAAATAAAAAACAGTAATAACTTGTTCGTACAGCATCTCTAATAAAATACTCACCCGCATAATTTATGCTGCGCCCAAAGCTATGCTCTCCCAATTTTCGTATGGTTATTTCCAATTGACGTGCCGTCACGTCAATGTGTCATAATGACGTATGTCATAATAATTTGTAACTTAATTCAATAGTTACGTCAATATAAAAATGACGTAGGTCTTAATAACTGAAATTTGCCGTAACTTTAGTTACAGCAATACGGCAGAGCAAATAGTACAATGTTACGAACATGTAAGTCAATCAAGTTCATACATTTTGATTTTCATAACAATCATTTTTTCAATTATTTACAATGATAATAATTACATAATACAATTTACATAGTAGGAATCAAGCATTTTACAAGAATTGGTAAAATAGAAAAACCTAATAATATTAACTAAAACTTATAGTATATGTGTTACTAATTACTCACATTACTATTGCAACCATGAAACCTATTCTTTTTTTTTTTTTAAAGGTGAGGCCTTGCTCATATCTTTATTAATAATTTTTAAAATAATAACTACATGAAGTTGCTAACCTTTATATACACCAAGGTGAATAAAAGTAAAAATTACATGCAAGAATAAAAGCTCAGGCTACTTTATCTGTGACTTAAACCTACTAGAGTAGTTAGAGACTTACCTAAATTTGAATAGTTAGAATATTGTTAATAGATGTATAATATTTGATCTAATGAATAGATCAGAGATTGATTTTTGAAATAGCTTGCCCAATTGGTGGCAGGTGTTTCTATTTATGTGTTGTTAATCAGGTGTACTACAAGGGCAAAAATAAGTATATTTAGTACAGTTATATTTAGAATGTGAAGCAGCAGAAGTTTGAAGCTTCAGTTGATTGTAAGATATATTGATATTATACTGTTTTTTTCATTGTGAGAAATTAGAACAGTATAGCTTCTATAGCTAATCATATAAGTAAGAGTTGATTTGAAGAAATAATTCAATAATAATATATAAAGCCTGTTTATAAAGAAGGTTCAAGTCTTAAATAGTTTGAATAAGAGATATAAAGATAAGACTTCTAAGTGTAGTAATAAAAGCTATTTAATTGAGGTGAAGTTTGGTTAAGAGCTTTATGTTGTAAAATCTTATGATTAAAGTCATTTAGTTAGAAAATAAGTCTAGTTGAGCTTTGTAGAGGTATTTAGCAATAGTTTAAATTAAAATATTAGGAAGTAGAAAAGAATAGAAGTAAATATACTAATATGAAAAAGAATTAGAAAGATTATAATAAAAGCAGAAAGGGCTATTGAAGATATTTGGATATTTATTATAATAGAAAAAGTATATAGATAGTTTATTAAATAAAAATTTAATTTTAAAAGCTTTGAGTAGATTTAGTCTAAAATTAGTAAAGTTGTAAGTGGGTTTTAGATTGTGATTAAAATAAAATCAGGTAGATCTTTAGTCAATTTGTAATAAAAAAGATGCTTATTCAGCATTATGTCTTTAAAAAAACTAAATAGTCAAAATATGTGCTTTACAAATATTTTTAATGAATAATTTAGTAGATAGTTTAATGAAGTGTTATTCTCATTGAAGAATATAATAAGAGTTATATATATTAGGATACTGACATTTATTAGATAATATTTTAGAAAGTGAAGAGGTAAAGCCCAACCTTACCTTAATATAATACTAAAATTTAATTAGTTAATAAAAATATTATCTGGGGGAGGAAGTAAAGCTCTATAGTAAATAAATATTAGATAATAAATGTTAGAGCCTTTAGTATAATTAAAGAATAAAAGTTAGATGTTAGGTGTTGTTTAGCTAAAAAGTCAACAAGATTATTAAAAATATTGTTACTATAAGCTTGTACTTTGTGAAAGTTAATATAGAAATTAAATGATTTAATAATATTTAGAAGTGTATGCATAATAGCTAGGTACTAAATTTAAAAAGTTTGTTAAAGTTAAAAAAAGAAGTGCTAAATTTAAGAAATTTTGAAATAATAAATTAAGAATTAGTATATATATTAATAATAGAATTATAAGAAGTTATAGAAATAGCTAATAAGATAGCAAAAAGTTCAGCTTTATAAAAAAATGTCTAAAAGTATATTTTTGCTAAGAATTTATATATAATATGATTATTATTATTATTATTATTATTATTATTTTTTTTTTAATGTTAAGGTGACTACTTGGGAGTCTGGCATGTTTTATTAAACTTTGGATCGAATACCAGGGCAGTCACAGGACTATTTCTGACTTTATTATATTAACG